GCATATCATCATTATCATGTTGATTGTGTCATTTAACTTCTTCGTCTTTGACGTCACGTAATGCCAAATTTGGTATATGTGGAGCTAGCGAAACGGACACGAGCGCATCATAAACGTGGTATATTGTCATGTTCTTACATGGCACGCCTGTCACGATTATCATGCTTGCACCATTCTTATACCTTCGTCATTCATTGATGTTGCGTAACACCATATTTGGCATATGTGGAGCTAGCGAAACAGCTGCAAGCGCAGCATGAAGGGCCCAATATACTCCGACGTAACGTTGACGCGCGCGCACGCTAGGTGCAGTGATGCTACGCTAGCAAAAGCGAGCACTCTATAATCGTTACCGGCGCGGCGAGCGTCCGTCAGTGCATCCCACGGAGGAAGGAAAAAGGTAAGGAGAGGGCATGCCCAGCCGGCGCAGGGCGTAAAAAGTGTGGCGGAAATGACATCATGGCGGCCATATTCAGACGGCACAATGGCGCGTTGCTATGGTACGTGTTGAGCAGTGGAGCTGGTCTAGCAGTGAGCGGCCGCGGCTGGCGGCAGAATGTGTGCCTCCCCAGGTCTCGTTCTGAGCTGTGGCGGACAATATCTGTGCTCTGCGCCGCGTTATTGGTTACGCATGTTCTCTTGGCTGTTACATTACTCTTAGCAGCGTTACAAATCCTTTGTCCATCACGGGGTTTCAACCAGTGCGTAGAACAAGTGCATATCCATGTGTCATGCGGCGGATGACGCGGATGAAGCAGTTAGTGTTCAGCGAAATTGCGTTGGGCACCATGACGAAGCTGAATGACGACGAACGCCTTGCAGGTCAGTGACGGTTGAGCAGTGCTCCTGCTTGTGACAATGGACGACGCTGTTGAGCCCAGCAAGACGCCGTGAGGACCATGTGCACATACGTAGTTTCGTGTTGTGTGTGTACAGTAACAACTTGCATGCGCCGTATTAAAACACCTTTTCTGTTCCGCTTGGTACACTCTCCACCAGCACTGCATGTAATCTCAACGTAAGAGCAACCACGTTCAACTGTCACTAGCACCGTGCTCAGTCACCACGGTCGCAGAATGCCTGACGCCGGTGATTTCACGTTGAACACGGACACAGTGGCAGGACGCTGCGTCGGCTGCGTGGCGGAATGCAACCGTAGAAGGCGCACGACCGATCGTGTTGTCTGTACAGTTGCTGAATTAATGACGTGAAGGCACTCGCCGTTGTCAGTGCATCTAGCGCGCGTTCTCTCGTAGTTGCTTCGTTGTCGGCGAGCTGTTATCCCTGTTATTACTCGGACGAAGCGATTTCGTTGAAGCTGTCCCGCTGGCTCCGAGTGATGAGCTCAGTTCCATTAGTTTCGGATCGTCACGACACACGCGCTGCGCAGCCCACGTGCTTTCCGAGCCGGAGAGGGAGTCGCGCCTTCTGCTTCGCATTCTATGTAAACAAGAGAGGAGAATTTGCCTACTCAATATGGCCGACTTCCGGCTTCATCGCGGCTTCACAACGAGTGACTTCAGGGCCTCTCCTTACCTTTTCCTTCCTCCGTGGTGCATCCTGATGGAGGGAGGCCGGGCGCGCTCAAACGAGCATGCGCAGCGCGACGCGCGCCTGCGAGTATATGGCAGGCAGATCGGCACCTCGCGTGGCATCGCCGGCGTGACGCGATGGAACGAACGTGTGCGCCGGGTCACGTCAAAGTGTATTGGCGCCTTGAGTGTGGCATGTAGTCATGTTCTCACATGGCACGCGTCTCATGCTTATCATGTTTGCACTAGTCCCATACCTTCGTCATCCATTCACGTCCTGTAGTACCAAATCGGTATATGTGAAGCTAGCGAAACGGCCGCGAGCGCACCATGAGCGTGATTACATGACACGCATCTTATGATTTTCATGTTAAGATCTGTCGTTTGTGTTCGCCATGCAGTCATTTCATACCAAACCAGTTTTGCAACCTTAGCCACTAGACCACCGTACCTTAGCCACTAGACCACCGCGGCGGGGCAGATAGATAGATAGATAGATATATAGATAGATAGATAGATAGATAGATAGATAGATAGATAGATAGATAGATAGATAGATAGATAGATAGATAGATAGATAGATAGATAGATAGATAGATAGATAGATAGATAGATAGATAGATAGATAGATAGATAGATAGATAGATAGATAGATAGATAGATAGATAGATAGATAGATAGATAGATAGATAGATAGATAGATAGATAGATAGATAGATAGATATGATAGATAGATAGATAGATAGATAGATAGATAGATAGATAGATACGCTTAAGATCGCCGAAGTTCGCTAAGAAATGCTTCACATTTAAAAGTAAAGGAAGGATCTGGCAACTTTGGGACACACGGCTCATCACAATAAAGAGATTACATGGACCATGATTTCAGATGCACATTCAGAAAAAGGCGCATATCTTTTTGGCAGACTTTTTTAGCAGACACCGGACTGGATAATTGCTTTTGGGATACTGCTAGGGGTTGAGATATAAGGAATGGTGTGTTAGTACATATGTGATTAGAAATGTAAAGGCGTGCGTGTGAACTTGTTATGACAGTTTGAATTGCTGCAAGCAAACTTTACATCAACATGTTATTTCATCTGGCCTCAATGTGCTAATATTGTATTTTTGTGATTGCTAATTTTGCGTGCCATTCATTGTTTTTTTCGCTGCTGGTTGCGCTCATTGGTTCTTTAGTTTCAGTTTCACCTCAAAATTTCTCATAATTCCATTTATGTGCAGTTATTACTACAGGCTGCTTTTCTGAAATCTCAGTTTGAATGGGTTTTCGGCATGAAGGACGTCTATTCTTCTATTTCACTTAACTTTCTAATTTCAGTATTTAAGAGTTAATTAGTATTTAACTTTCATAACTACGGGTACAAATGATCTGTTCAATCTGTTTATGTGCCTGCTGCTACAGAAAAAGCAAGGTGCGAAGACAGCGAGCAAATAGCGCCTTTTCCTGGTTTTGTGAACAATATTGGACACATTTGTGAAACGCCCTGCATATTAAACTGTGCTAGTTCTTCAAAGATGATAAGCAAAACGCCTCATTGATACGTTTTTTTTCTATTTCTATATCGAAATGTATCAGTAACTACTCGCGCTATCTTCCACCTCTCACTCACGCAGTTTGAACCAGATTCTAGTCTATAATTCCAGTTATGGCAAAGACATATGAAGGATGTCATTCTGGTAGTATACGGTAGACCTCCCTTGACCTTTTTTTCCCGTACGTTCTTTCCTTAAATATTGTTTTCGGCCACCCTTACAAGCCTCGTTTTTTAAATAACTGTAGACGAAATTAAATGTGTACGTCTATCTGATTTCGTCATTAGCCACATTCCTTCATTAATAACAGGCTGAACATTATTATTACAATTTTTTCACTAGCATGTCTATTGTTTAGAAGGGATGTAGGAGCATGAGTATGGATGCCTGCTGTGATTTCCAACACAAGTATTTATTTTTTGTTACCATAGCCATAAGAAGACTTTTTTTTTCCTGCTCTTTTCAAAGTTCGGGAAAGCTATGGAGCCATACTCTTATATGCTTTGTTGACTAACTTTCTTCAGGCTGCCTTCAAAAACGCGATCGAATATAGTAAACTGCAAACAATCTTGTTAAAGCGCTTTTATGTACAGCATGTATTAAGACACCACCGCAAACAAACTATAAACTTACCAGAGGCAAATTAATCCAACCTGGATGGAATCAAAGCTACTTACCCGATGCCTTTTTTCCAGCGTATGTGTGGAGGGGGTTCCCCTTCAGCCTGACAGTCAACGACCACAGAGTGACCAGTGACCGCCACCACATCCCTGGGCTCGGATCGCCATGTCGGTGCAACTGCGTGTGAGTATCACTATTGCTGTGATTGATTGATTGATTCATTGATTGATTGATTTAGTGGACTACTATTGTTTACAACCAGAAGCGAAAAGTGGGTTAGTTGGTGGTTCATGCTAGGATGTTAAAACAGCGCAAAAATATAGACAAAGACGGAAGAAAAGACGGCAAGGTGCTGATGTATCGTGCCTTGTCGCCTCTTCTTCCGTCTTTGTTTACATTTTCACGCTGTTTTCCGCAGCCAAGCATACTTTTCGTTAGCTTAACAAAGCAAGAATTATTCAGCGGGCCTAAGCCATCGTATGCAAATAATATTTTTATTCATTCATTCAACTTTGTTCGTTCGTTCATTCATTGGGGGCTCTGGATTATTTCTAACGGCCGTTATGAACGTGACCTGAATCATCGTATACGAACTATTTTTGTTCTGTTTCTTCTAATTACATTTTGGTTATATCTATGTGCGGTAGCGATGACGTGAATCAAGCCTTCCATATCAAACTCAACAGCAAGTTTTCATATCAAGTGAGCGACACGCGAAGGTTGGCTGGTTGCGCAGTGTCGTGGATTACAGCGCTGTAACATCGAAAGTCAATTTTTATTCACGTAAATGTCATATATATCGTACTCTCTGGTGTGTCTCCAAAGAAAATATTTACACTACACAAGTTTTTCGTAATGATTTGGATCTGAATATTGTCTTTATATGTCCAGGCTCAGCGGTTACTCTGTCACGATTATGACTGCGGCGTGTAGTTGGTTGCAGTTGCTCAAAAGAGGCTGTGGCGAACAATGTATAAGCAACCGTTATGCACAGCGTTACTAAATTTGGGGACTTACATACCAAAACCACACATGAATGGTGGCATGCGTAGATAGGGATGACCTATCAATTCAATCTCCTAGGATTCTTCACGTGCACCTAAATCTATGCACATCTTGTTCCCGGCATTTCCTCTCCCTGAAATGTGGCAGCAGTGGTTGATAATTGAACCCGCAACTTCGCGTTTATACTCGAACCCGCAAATTCGCGTGATACCTTGCGCTAAGCAACCACGGCATGGTAATGTGCTGAGCGTTAACTACAGAAGGATCTTAGAAAGTGATTCGAGTCGCCTATATTAGTAAACGGAATAGAAGTAGGCGACCTTTGACCCTGAGCACGGCACTGTACGTGGCCACTGCCCAGGCGTTGGAGGCGCGACAGGTGTAGTTGCCATTGTCCTGTGACGACAAGGACTCCAGCGAGAGCGTGGACACGAACCCGTCCTGGCGAACGGGTTGCAGGATCGGTGCGCCGTCCTTAAGCCACTCGATGACGATGGCTTTCGCGGCGTGCACGAAGCAGCTGAGACCAGCGCGCATTCCTTCCTGCACGTCGTCCAGCCAACGAAACGGCGTGATCTGCGGACCAGCTGCGTACGAACAACGAGAAAGGAAACAGAAGCAAACCTTTTTTCACGGAAAGTGCTGACTGTATGCACAATTTTCGCAAGCTTTTTCTTTTGAGACATTGCAACAGAAAGCGACAAAAGCTCTGTTGAAATTCATTGAACAAGCGGCTGTAACAGCAGTGTCACACAACGCAAAAGACAAGACGATAGTTATAGCGCGAGAACAAAACGACGACACAGAGACAAGAAGGACACGAAAGACACGTGTCTCTGTGTCGTCGTTTTGTTCTCGCGCTCTAACTATCGTCATGCCATACCAATTAGCCCAAGCTGCCACACGCGAAAGACAAGACTGGACTATGACAGAGTGTGCATGCGCGGTGCTGCCGAATGTGCTGTGATTATCTCTCTTCCCTCTCTGCTCTCTATCTTTTATCTCCCCCATCCACCTCCGATGCGCAGGGTAGCAAACCGGCTGCCTATAGGCTGGTTAACCTCCCTTCAGTTATTTTCATCCTTTTTTCCTTCTTACTTGTTCTTTTGAGTGAAAAAATAAAGTTATTTTCATCATTACGGAGCAGGTTTAGGTTCTTAGTTTTCATGTCCCTAAACCACAATATTATCGTGAGGCGGGTGGTATAGTGCAGTGTATCAGTAATATCCGCATTCTAGCGTTCCTTAACTTACATCGTGCAGTACGCAGACGTCAGCGTTTCGCCTCCTTCTAGATGTGACCGTAGCGGCTGCGATACGATTCTCGACGTGCGAGTTAAGAACCGACAGGGTTGCGGGCCTATAAGGAGCCACGCTCCTAGCGAGCATAACACTAACATGCGTTTATAGAGTGTAGAAGCGTGAAGGAAAGCATCAAGCGACGGTAGAAGGGACTTAACGTGAGCGCTTACTGCTAAGGAACCCGTCATTAAAACTACGGGTTACTATTTTATGACTAGCATATTCGCTTCACACTTTTTCTTGTAAACTACGAGAAATTTGAAGACCAGTAAGTCCCGATATCTGATAAGGTTAGTATAAAACCCGAAAAGCGATAATGAGCGTAGTGAGAGCAGACAATAGTGAATAGATTAACGCAACATTCTTGAAAATGATTCATGCATAACGGAGAACAGACTGTGATTCGTGTGCGCCTTGCCTACAAAAACTATGAATCCCCATGCACATCTCAGACGTCACTCGACTAGTGGCTTTATTCATTATCAGTCGCTTGGCGTCATGCATAGCTCACGTTTCTGTGCGGCGCTCGCGGGATTGGCAGCGAAAAGATAAAAATGCTTGTTCACACCTACACTCAGAATCGGCCACGCGACCAAGTTAGTCATAAGTGGTCGCAAATGATCGCTATGGGACGCAAAGCGACCGCTTTGGCTCGTGCTCATGCTGCCAGATTGTAGATACGAAGCACCTCGGCACTCGGACTGTCGGCGTCTCCTGTTATCATAGCCCGTCAAGGTGTATCCTGTCACCACCTGTCTCAATGCCTTTCAAAAAGTGCTGGTGTGACACCTACATTAACTTCCTCACGCGGGATGTGTTCAAAGTCCATCGAAGTGCCACAACTCTACCGGCTCAATAGACCTGTCGCGGTGCTACAAGACAGTTTTGGAAGGGTCGTCGAATGGTTCCGGAGTTTCTCGTAAGAAATCGTGCGGCGCCCTTTGCGGGTTTTTCCCTTTATTTCGCTTATCTATGTCACGGCGGTCTTTTCGAGATCATCTGCAGGTCACCCATTTCAACTGCGATAACTGCAAATTCCGTAGAAACCCCTTGACCATGACCTCTGCCATTGTCCCGACTTCGACGGACTTCCAGTGTGCCTCCAGGAGACTTATTAACGTCCCTTTCCTCAAGACCAGATCTTGGGCGCGTGGTTCTTCAAGCTCATCGTCCAGAAAGCAGCACGAGCTCTCTACGACTCTTGAAGGCAACATCACTGAGCGACCACCTGTGAAACCCAGCACTGTTGTGTGGTGCATGAGTGGCGTGCAATGTGCATCTGCTCCTCTCTCTTTATCTTTTGATCCGTCTTCCCCTCTTACGAGTAGCGAGGCAAACTGGACTTAGTCTAGTTAACCTCCCTACCTTTCTTATTCCCGTTCACTCACTCTCTCTCTCAAGGGGCGAATATACTTCATTCAATAATTCATAACCCTTTCATATGCTGCTTTTAAAGCATATTGGTTAGATTTATTTTTCTTTTCGTTCGCACGAACTCACTTTGAACGAAAGAGCATGTTCTCGCTGTTTCCGTGTCCGCTGCTGAATGTCCATTGAAGTTTCTAGAGAGTTGGAATGCTTAGTTAGCTCATTAGGTCATTGCCTCGGCAGCCTTTGAAGCATCCGTTTAACAGGTTTGAACGGGACGTTGGCTGAACCTTTGATTCAATGGACTATCGGTTGGAAGGGTCCTCCCAACGCCCGAGTGACACGATATAAAACGGCACGTCTGCTCAGAAAAAAGCTCACGATACAACGCCACGTGCACTCTTCTGGTTTTCAACTTCCTGAGTTCACCCAGTAAAAGATGTTTCGGCTATGTACGCTTATTCTAGCAATGAGATGACGCGGTCCTGTCATTGCTGTTTGACGTGTCTTTATATGTGAGAAACCGAGGCTCAAAACCTCCCCAGGTTTGACGTTAGTGGAGCTGTTTCTCTATAGTGCCGGCGATAGACAGATATCTTCGTTACATGTTCACTGCGGCTGGTATCGAACCCCATGTCATCACGTTTTGATAGCTGCTAGACACACATACATTGTTCACCTTTAGATGCGGAGCATCTAATACTCGAGGCTTGTAGTGCGGCGCCGTCCGCAAGCTTCCTCCTCCTTCTTCCACCATCTGTGCCTCCCTTTCTCCTCTACACACCGCGCGCGCTTCACTCCTCCACCATCTGTGCACCCTTCCTCCTCTACACACCGCGTGCGCTTCTCCTCTTCACGAACATTCGCTAGCTGTATAATGTAGCGCGCATGCTAGGCGCTCACGCGGTTGACGTCGTGCGAGATCCCGTACTACGCAGAGTGGACGTGCTTTGCTTCCACCGAGACGTGGAACGCAAATAACGTCGACGTTGCGGGATACGCTTCGGTCGCGCGCACGCACGGGTTCCAACGACCTGCAGACGGTGTGGGAATTTACGTCAAGCGTGACGTCGACAACGACGACGACTACTTCATTGATATCCGACTACAGCCCGGCGTTCACAACGCGCCAACGGCGAGCACTGCGTTGCTACCGTCTGTGGCGTCGACGTCATGACGATGTACCTCGCGCCAAACCTCTCTCGTGCCGCCGTACAAAAGTACGTCGACGAGGCCGTGCAAGATTACAGAAAACAACCAACCGCAACATCGCCCGTTCATGCTAGTTGGCAACTTCAACGTCGACGTCATCAAGGACGATTGGATAGTCGAATACATGGCGTCGCGACACTCGCTGAAACGCGCACGCACGACGACTGCAAACACCACCAGCCGACCACCATTCGCGGAACCTGCATCGACCACGTCTTTGCAAATTTCGACCTACGACCACTGCAACCCGATCCACTCACTCTTCACTTTACCGACCAAAAAGCCATCGTGCTCAAAGTTCGTCGCAATAATAAACACCGCCCTTTCGCATACGTGTCGTACGTGTTCACTCATTTAACACCCCTCCTACAACCACGTTAACCAATTTAGCCAGCGACCCAAGTAAGTCGCAATTTAACACCCCATTTCACAACCACGTTAACCAATTTAGCCATCGACCCAAGTAAGTCGCACTTTAACACCCCGTTAACCAATTATATGCTCCGCATCCTCCTCAGTGTTCCCCCGAGGAAGCTGCGGGCAATTTTTTATTTATTTATTTTTTTGCTGACGCTTCAATGCGTTTCACCTAACCTCTGAACCAATCGGATGGGCAGAACCAGTAAGTCAGGACAATGATGTGAGCAAACGTGCATTCTGTGTCGCTATGTTTAGTGGTCCGCGGAAGTTGTTGACATCGGTCGCCTTGAGCTGCCTTCTGGTCGCCAGTCGCAAATGATCATGCGGTTGGTACAATTCAAAGCTACTATCGAGCCTAAACCACATAGTTTGTTAGCTGGTGCACAAACAAAAGCGGAGTTTGCAAACTTACTTCTGACAATGACCCGAACAAGTTGCTCAACAGATGTCCATCCGGTTTTCCACGACACAGGTGTAGTCCCCTTGTTCCTTGGCCTTAGTGAGGGTCTCCAGCAGCAGTGTGCCATTGGTGAATACAGTCTGCCTTTGGTTCACCGGCAATTCGCTTCCATCTGTACAGTAAAATGGGAGCCCAGTTTGCTGATACCTTGATCACAACCACAATATGTGGTTTGGGTGGCCGATCACCAAGGGCTGTAGGGAAATGAACAGACCGAGCACTCTGTTCCCGAGCTATCTTCCATTCTTTAGAAGCCTACTCCCAATCAGACAATTCGGAGCTTTCATTCAAAAACGTTGCCCATTACTACAATAATGAGCATCGGTACTATTCCGACCCTTGTAAGGGATTGCATCACACTGGCGAGCACCTCCTTTTAAAATTGTTCATCAACGCTGTACTTTGCCCGGCGGGGTTAAAACATTTCGATTAAACCTTTAATTACACGTGCCAGTTCTGTGGAGAGGTGGCTGACATAGTCTGGGCGTGCCAGTCAAACCCATCTATCACCCCCCCCCCCCCCAATCCTACGGGAGAGAATGTGAAGGCGGCCCTGCTCAGCTGTCAGGACCTGAGGCCCAAAGGCCCTGGTTCTACAGACGCAGGCGGCGTTGCTTGCCAATGGAGATCCGGAATAGCGATGTCACCTAGTAATGTGAGAGAATGACGTCAGTGAGGCCCCAATCCAATCACCTCTCTGTAACCATTTAATGGTTAATAAATGTTTCACCACACGGAATCTTCCGACTTAAATTCTTGAGTTTGCAAACGTGCTGCGAAGTTTTCACTTAGCGTTTGCAATAACACTCGGGAGAAGTTATCAAGATTAATTAAAAACGCATGTGCAACGTTTTTTTTTCCAAACTAGATGTTACATAAAGAAACATGTAGCTCAAAGATTCTCATGTGTAATGAAAGAACCAAAGCTATGTACAAACATACTTAGCGTGACAACGAAATTCTGAATTTTTCACACAGCCTATATAGACATGCGAATAGCTTTCGACGAACAAGACAAACGCGGTTGAAGAAACAACAACTTGTTTTTATCAGAGCATTCTATGTGATTTCGCAAAATAAGCCATGAGTCATTTTTGTGGGGGGGAACTTTACATTGTCTAGGTCTCATTGAAACTAAATTCAATCTTTGTGCTGCGGCACGTATCATCATTCCGTCCGTTGACCTAAATTACTGGAAATGACACTGTTCTTTACTTGAACAAGAAAAAAATAGCAAAGCAGGCTTCCTGTTGACTGTGGTATACAAAAACGGGGATTTTTGCGTCCGATAGATTTCATCACAAGGTTGCGTGTATAATATAGTACATTGAATCAAAATTCAGTATTGTATTTCAATATAATACACCACAATACAATATAACACAATACAATGCAATAAAATACAATACAAAGCAATGCCCTACAACTCAATACAGTTACATCTCACCACTGCACAATGCCATAAAATACAATACAACTAAATACGGTACAGGGTCTCGGCCGAATTGTTTAGGAGGGGATAGATATTTCCGCTCAGAAAAACCATGGTGAGTTCCATTTACCTGAATGCTTCCAATGTGTTACCAGTTACTTCGTGTTTTTTTTTTTAACCAATAGATTGCGTACCTTTGAACCAGCTGATCTTGTCGTATGGATATCCGCCGAATGGACACTGCAGCGCTAAGGAATGACCTTCCAACGCCGTCGCGTTGTACGCCGGCCTCATGAACAGGGGGCCACGCACGTCCATGCGGAATACGTGCTCAGCCCGACCCGCCACGTTGCTTGCCAGGCACTGGTAATGACCGGAGTCGGACGTCTCCACCGAAGTCCAGTTGAGGAAGCTTACTGCGTCACCCGTCGCCGAGTCGATGGTCGACCAGAGACGCAACCTCGGTCCACCTCCAATGATGGGCCACGCACCGTCCAACGTCCACGTGATCGAGGGCGCTGGGTCACCCGACGCCCGGCACCCTAGGCTCGCGGGAGTCTTGGGATTCAGTATGCCTGTGGTGCCGTACGTTCGCTCCATGCGTGGGGCACGCTCTGTGAGTTTGTGTATTCGAAGCTGTGTTAGTCCAGAAGTCATATCAGGTGAATTTGTAACAAGTATTAGTTAGTTCAAAGATTAGCCTCGGTACCACTGGCATAGCTGACTTTCCTGGGGTACAAGCACAGAATTTCGCATACGTTCTTGTGGTCTATGACGATGGTGATCATGTTCATTCCATACTACAGGCAACCCGAAATCTCTATGAAGAAGAGGCTGCAAAAATTGGTAAATTGAATAAGTAAAAATTTGGCAGATACCATATACCTTGAGAGTCGACGTTGTGCGAAGCACGCGGAAGGAAGGTGAGCGTGTCTCACTTTTTATTGAGCGACACGTCACAAAATGTCGCTAATTGCATGTACAAATTTCGCACGCACAGACATAAGTTGAAGAGTTGCAGATGTTTATATACCCAGTTGTTCGCACTTGCGCAACGATAGGAACAAGCACATTAGCAACACCAGAAGCTGATATGAAGCGCTGATGCTCATGAGGATGTGGACCTATACACTGCTACATAAATCAACTTCAGCGCATGACACCTAACAACAATTTCTGTTAAACCGACGTGACGGCTGCATCAAAGGAGTACAATGTAATGTTTATAAAATTGGATATGGAGCACTTCAACCACTATTCACATTTCACGAAGATTTGCGTCTATTTTGAAAGGTGGTTCTGAGACCTGGAGTAGCTCTGTGTTAGGATGCTTCATTGCTAGGCAAATGCTTTGGTTCGATTTAATCTGGGACCCTGAAATTTATTCTCTGCATTCATCGGGTCGACGCTACCGATGTCAGGTATTTATTAATGCTCGTGCGTTCAATTTATCCATGCGTTTTCTCGCCGTTCCTCGGTAGATACTAAGTGTCAATCACCTGTGGTACATACACGCATATCAGTGGCACATACTCGCCAGAGGGTATGTGCCACTGTCTGGCGGGAAGTGTTTGACGACATACGCGACGGAAATGTGATATTATTGATGTTTTGACCAGCGCGTCATATTCGTCGAACCATCTTACCCCCTCATGCTAATTTTGGCCTACGCTACGTTAAGGGGCGATCACGCGAGCGCCAAAACGTAAGCAGCTATATAGATAGATACGCTCAAAGTCGCTGAAGTTCGCTAAAGAATGTTTCGATTCAATATTGAAAGTATTGAAACAGAAAAATATGCATATATGAAACAAAATGTTTCGCTATTTGAAATGCCAACTATGTAACACCAACCTGTTATTACATTTATTATTTTCTTCTCCTTTCATATCAGCTGTGTAGGCTAGCAAACTGCGTTCAATCTGAATGAACTCCTTGTCTTTCTTTTGCATATATCTTTGTCACTTATATTCACATAGCTGGCAGTGCGGTAGCAAAGCAGGTAATCACACTTACCTCAAACGCCTCGCAGGGTTTCGTACACATACTTACCAAGACTGCTGCACCTATGGATCGAATATTTAAAAAATCACATTGCTTCGGGCTAAGGCAGAAAGCAGCAGCCAACACCAGGATTCAACCATCGACCAATCAATTCTGAGGCTGGTGCTCACCTCCAACTACAAGCTCAGCCGTATCCTGCGCAGCCCTGCGTCCGTCCCTGGAAGTAGCGAAGCACTGCAGCATGCCACCCTGGTGCCGGGCCACAGCAGCGATTCGCACGAACCCTCGCTCGAGCCGCTGGAATCCCAGCGGAAGCGGCGACCCGTTTAGGCGCCACTCGAGTGACGCTTCGCTGCTGCTCGCGTTGCACTGGAAGGACACCGAGTCACCGGCCTCGGCACGAACCAGGCGTGGGCGGATGCTGACGGAGAGCTCACCTGCGGACACATATTGTGATCAATAATGCAGGAATGATACTTATTGAGGCAAAAATCTCAGATGCGTCATGAAAAACAGAAATTGGCTGTCAGCGCGTGAACACGAGTGATGCAAACAATAATCATCATGCGATGACTTCGCCACATGGCATCAAAGTACACCAATACTTGTGGCGTCAAAATGGCGTCATCATGGCGTCACTATCGCGTCGCTAAATACGTCATCACATGACGTCGTCACTTAGTCAAAGGTGGGCCGATCATGGAGACAGTGTAAAACCAGGTGCGGTGCAGAGAGCTTGAAATACCTCTGATCGTAGAGGCAGTGCGAAACTGCGTTACGTTCAAAAAGCTTTCGCAAGTGTGCGGGAGAGGATCAGTGCATCGACTGAGAAGCCCGTTGACCCCATGAGCTTTAATAGAAATGACTACACGAGGCCGAAGTGTGAGTTTTGATTTTAGGAACGAAGCTCCTTATAGCGACTCCCATTCATCTCTCGTAGCCGTTGTAGTGTGTAAAGAGCATAACACTTTGACCTCCAAGGTGGTGCCGGTGAGAGATTTTTTTCTGTGCGTTGTTGAACAATAAAAAATAGTGCTCAATGTACATGCCAATGGCTGCTAAGGGGGAATGAGAGACAGGAAAATTCGGCATTTAGTTAACGCGCACGCTGCGAATTTGCTATTGTTCAACAACGCACAGAAGACAAGAATGCGTTGCTAAGTTATACTCACTGGGCGTAACCTCCTAGGTTTTAGAGAGGTTTAGTGAGCGTTGGGCCGCAGTGCCATGAATACAGTGTGTATCGTATCGCACGTCACTCGTATCGCGCGATGCTCAACAGCAGCGCAGTTTTCGTCGAAACACGACGTGCTTCGACGAAAAGTGCGCTGCTGTTGAGCATCGCTGGAGAAGAAGCCATAGAGGTGTACAACACCTTCAGTTTCACTGAATACCAGGACAAGAATGACTACGACGTGGTAATCAAAAAGTTCGACGACTATTGTGCGTCTCAAGTCAATGAGGTACATCAGCGTTATCTGTTCCGTACCCTAAAGCAAGAACCAGGTGAGCCTTTTGAACATTTTCACGAGACTTGAAGACGAAGGCAGGAGCGTGCAATTTCGGAGAGCAAGCAGATTCAATGATAAGAGACCAAATTGTTTTTGGCACAAACGAAGCTAAGACTCGAGAGAAGCTTTTGTCCGACAACAAGTTAACGTTACAAAAAGGCCGAATCCTTCACTCATTCAGGCAATGCTGCAGATTCCTGACCACGCGAAAAGCAAGCAGCACAACGAATGCTAGGGGTTGTGAACTACTTCGGCAAATTTATTCCACATTAGCTGAGAGGACGCAGCTACCCGACTACCAGTGTGGCCCTTCCCACCGAGTCGTCAAGCATCGTCAGTCTCGACCGTCTACACAGCCACTAGCCCCACTCCATGAAGGCGACGTTGTGCGAGTCCAGAGCGGCTCGTGGGCCACCAAAGCACGGGTTCTGAAGCCGTCAACATATCCAAGGTCGTACCACGTAATCACACAGGAAGGGCGCTGCCTCCGGCGCAACCGCAAGCACTTGCTACCGACTGGAGAATCCTTCCAGCAGGACTCTGTTCCCAACGGGAGAAACATAGAGCCAAGGACCTCGACAGCTGCCCGGCACGTCGAAGACAGCGCCAAGCAATGACCCAACTACCACGGGCACACAGAGTAGTCCAACGCCAGCACTCAGAAGGTCGCTGAGAACGCAAAGACCACCACCACGACGACTAGAATATGACTAAGACTTTGAACAAATTGCTTGAACTCTCCCTTTGTTTCTATATGTTCTTCATTTGTTACGAAGTGCCACCTCAAGCTATCGTGTTTTCCACATATGTAAATAACTGCACAGTTTCCTTGTTTTCCTAAGGAAAAAGGATGTATCGAATCGCGCCTCACTGGTGCGCTATGCACGATAAGCTCAAGCGGCTTCACCTAATCTTGATACTATCACCTGTTGATCAAAGGGGCGTTGCCCAGAGTGTATTATAAATGTGACTGACTGAATCAACGGGGCAGCACTAGCTGCCCTGACGCACGCACCTGCTGTCACGCTGATCCCTGGTCCCATACACAGTGAACTAGTATATACCATGAACTCGAGGTGGTTAAAGGTGGGAAGTAGACACGAAGCGCAAGCCGTGAGAAAGAGTGCGTGTGCCTCCTCTAGTTCAGTCCTTGGAATGTCCGCTGGATGGCGGTGCTTCTATATGAGGAATATATGATGAAAAGATGCGAGATGGTGGTACTTGGAGTGTTGAATAGGTGGACAAACGGACACACAGACAAATGCATGAACGGACACACGGATGGCTGCACGGACGGATGGGCGCATTTGACGGACGCAGAAGCGGATGCATGGACGAAAGCAGGGACGGACGCACAGATGAACGTGCGTACGCATGAACAGACGCACGCACGGACGGGCGGATGGACGGAAGCAAGAACGAATGGACGGACGGATGCTGCGCTTCACTATCCATCGTTTACTCCGTGGATATGCTACCATTTTTTTACTTCATAATATACTCTCATAGAACATTCGAGCTAGTGTTCCGGTAACCAGTCTACTTAATGTTCGAAAAATATGTAGCTTCTGGTTCAGAGGTCACTTTCACAGAGCCCTTGTTTCCTCATAATTATTTGCTATTGAACGGGCAGCTTCCGCAGATGATATTGCTGCATCTTCCCGTTCCACCTCAAATCCCCCCCTTGTACTGCCGTCACGACGAAATTTTATCGGTGTTAACATTGACGGCTCAACTGCTTCTGCAATGGCTGATACTTGGGCACATATCTCTGTGATGAGGGCTCGAATTCGGCGCCGCATTCCTGAAGCGCTTTGATTGACGCCAGCCCCACGTGTACATAGCTTTGGGCTCCGTTTGCAAGACGTTAACCATGCAATCTGACGTGCTATTTAAGAATTCTGAGGCATTTTCTCATCAACGGCGCCCACCATTTCGCAGCTGGTAACAGTCAAGCCAGTTCGGGTCACCCTGCGGAGCTTTCTAGTTAAGCTTGCTGACGAATGTACTTACTCTCGCCTCTTCCTGCATTACTCGTGTCCCTGACGGAAGTCTTGAGTGTGCAAAGTACGAACCACAATCGCCGGTCACCACGCATATGTTTTCCTCGTTGTTCTTGAGCAGCACCCAAATGCCGCCACGCTCGAATTCGATTTCTTGTCAACACATGCCGCCCTCATTGACTTCAATAGTGTAAGTCCTCTTAATGCGCCTAGAAATGACTACACGAGGCTGAAGTCTGCGTTTTGATTTTTGTTTACCTCATCATATACCCTCACAGAACATTCGTGCTAGTGTTCCGGTAACCAATCTGCTTAATGTTCGAAAAATCTGCAGCTTCAACCTCTATGTCTAGGATCACGTGGCACAAAACCGCGCGCGGTGCAAGGATAAATGGCTATTAAATTTTTACATGGCTGCCTTTCGAAAACAACTTGCGGATGTGGCATGTGTAGTGCCCCACCTTAATTTCAAGAGAGTGCATCTTGTTCTCTTCAACTAAGCACAAGTATACTTAGCGAGCATTATGCCACCTCACATACAGTTATAGTATGCTTTCCCTAAATACAAATAACCGATCAGCTTACTTTTAAATTCGAATGAATTGACTTGAATTCTGGTTTATAGCGATTCAATTTATAATGTTAGTGAACTGGTAAACTTAATCCGGCAGTAAATGTTTCATTGAAGAAACAAACTCACACCTCCTTTACAGCACACTCCAGTGGACCTATTTTGTTGGCTTCACATTGTCGAAATGGTTTGTTACTAAAAAGCCACAGTTTCTCCTCCTAAAGAGGAAAGCTATGAACGCGATAGCAATTAATTTAAATGCCAAGTGTAGAACGGCAAGCAGCGCAACCCTTGGAGTCCGCTGTTCAAACACAAAAAATGGCGTACCAAACGAACGCACAGGTACAGTGGATGAGCGCGAACTGACAAATGACTCCACTGTAACATTGTGTTTGAGCAGTGCGCTGCAAGTGTCGACTGTGCACAGCCAACTGCCCACACTTTGTCTTTTTTAACTACCAGCTGACTCCTCCCGCAAAAGTAGTCGCTGCAGCGAACGACGTCACCATCGTGGTTTCTACTTCAAAGCCGACTTTGCGGTGAAGCACAATACCTCCAAATCCCTTTCTTCACGAAATAAGGGTGCACTCACGGTGATACGGGTAGCCGGCGTACGCACATCACAAATTTGGTGAATACCGAACGCAGTGACGACCTTTATTGCGTGCGCTTCGCGACATCTGACTTGTGATAAAAAGAACACGCTAGAGAGCCTTCTAGCTCTGTGTGCCACCAGCGGCAAAGAGTGCATATATATAGCTTGCGGTTAGAATGCTCAAAGACACATATTCCGTGACCGAGTTTCCTAATGCCGTGCACTGAGTAGTGAGAGGTCGCAGGTGCGAATTCCCTGGTCACGCGCTTCGAACAGTAATTGCTGAATACTTTTCTTGGCTATATATATATATATATATATATATATATATATATATATATATTATAATATATATATATATATATATATATATATTATATATATATCCCCTGATGAAGGGAGGACCCCTCCCGCTCCCGAAACTGTTAGGAAATAAATATATCCTTGTTGACAACGCTCCCGTTGTGCCATATCTCATATATATATATATATATATATAATATATATATATATATATATATATATATATATATGAGATATAACAGACAGTAATGCCAAGGAATGTACAGGGGAAGTTATTAGAACCAATGGGATGTAAATAAGAAGAAAGAAGAAAGAAAAGTGGATGAAAAAATTGCCAGCTGCGAGCAGGAATCGACCCTATGACCTTTGAATAACGCGTTCGATGCTCTAACCACTGAGCATCGAACGCGTTATTCGAAGGTCGTAGGTTCCGTAGGTTTCGTAGGTTCATAAAGCCGTCAACTTATGCAAACCAACACACGTGTCAAACAAGACGAGAAATAAATTAACACAGATACTATATTTGAAAGTTGCTCGTCCATGAGAGTAACAATGTAGCCGAGGATAACTGGCTAACCAGTAATTTTGTGTAACGGCACACACTTTCCCATTTATTTTAATTACGTGTCACTTGCACAAAAATTTGCTTCGTGTGGATAAAAAGAACGTTTATTGTTCACTCAGTGACAGTTTCACGTACGCAAGCGGCTTGTGTGCTTTCTGGTCTCATGAAACTGAATGATTTTTTTTTTCGAGTGGAACTACAACAGCGCAGTGAGTTTGTGGTCCTCAAATACTACAGACATCTGTACGCAGTTTCCTTTTTCTGTTTCTATATTCGAACGATAAAAGAGTTACTGATTCTAATATTACAACGTAATCGAGTACCTCTCATAAAGGTGCACCCACTATACACGCAAAGCTATTACTCGGATCGCACGCACTAGCACAACACAATCGAGTGCCTTGATCGACCCGATGCCACTCCTCCCCGTCTTGACAATGCGTGAGTCGCTCCGATCAACAGAAGTACTAGACGCAAACAACGGCAGTTATCGTCTCATGATCGCGCTGATCGCTAAAAAGTTATGCCATCATATGTTTCCTGAACTGTTGGTTTCGACTACTTTGTTATTTCCACCGTTTGGGTTTCCTAATGATCCACTGATTGGGGACATGGTAACGACTACAGCATATGACAATAGTCAAAGGCTACTGAGATCGAGCTGGTCAAGAGATTGTGGCCGTTGCTCAATCGGCTCATCTACACCCCCCCCCCCCAAGAAAAAAAAAGAAAAAAATGAACTAAATATGCGTTGTCACTTTCCGTGACGCCCCACTTGCCTCGTATACGACTCCCTTTAAAAAATACCTGTTAACATTTTTTTTTGGATCAGAAAATAGTTTGATGACCTATAGAGAGTCCACGTGCCTCTTTAAAAAAACTCATGTACATGCAAGTCATAACTCACAGAAAAGAGTCAAATAACGCCTTTTAAGTGCGAAGCATTTCTTTGCGTACTGAAAACAATTTTGGTATCTATCTATCTATCTATCTATCTATATATCTACCTATCTATCTATCTATCCAGTTATGTCTGGGTGCTTTCGTGATGACACCTTTAGCTTGGCGTGAAGTAAAATCAGCAGGGGGGAGGGGGGTCAGATGGTTTGACAAATATAACGCGCTGGTCCAGACATGAATAACCTCACTGTCCCTTCGCGTACATCGTCAAACACTTCCAGCTAAAGAGTGGCACATACCCGTGTGCCTCAGGTATGCGGCTATGCGTGACAGGTGGTTGGCAGTTCATATTTACCCTGGAACGATAAAAACACACACGGGCAACTTTAGCGCGTGATCATTAAGAAAAACCTGACATCAGCAGCGTTTATCCGACGAATGCAAAGCATAAATGTTAGGGTCCCAGCGGAATCGAACCCAAGCATTCTGCGGAGCAATCAAGCATTCTATCCCAGAGCCACGCTAGGTCTTGGAGCTACTTCTCAAGTAGACCCTACTGTTCGTAAAACGTGAAATGTGGTTGCAGTGCGGGCTATCATATTTTACAAACATGACTCCTTTGATGCAGCCCTCATGTTCGGGTCATGTCAACGGTCGTTTGGCGTCATGCGCTGAAGTTGGATTACGTAGCAGTGTCCAGGACTACCTTCCTCGCGAGCACCAGCGCACCATATCAGCTTCGATTCATTGATATGTGAGGCTTAACATTCCAACACCACTAAATGAATATGAGAGACGCCGTAGTGGAGGGATCCGGAAATTTTGAGCTCCTAGGGTTCTTTAATGTGCACACACATCTGAGCACACGAGCCTACAGCATTCGCACAGCCATCGGAAATGGTATCATATCAGCTTATCACTTATGGTGATTACTTATGTTCCTGGATTAACGGTATGGCTTAACGTTCCAACACCACTAAATGAATATGAGAGACGCCGTAGTGGAGGGATCCAGAAATTTTGATCTCTTGGGGTTCTTTAATGTGCACCCATATCTGAGCACACGAGCCTACAGCATTCCCACATCCATCGGAAATGGTATCATATCAGCTTATCACTTCTGGTGATGCTAATACTTATGTTCCGGTTGGCATCGTTGTGTAAGGGCTAAAAACTGGGTATATAAACATTTGCAACTCTTACACATATGTCTGCTCGTGCAACATTTATACGTATATTTCGCGTAAATTCATGACTTGTCACTGAATAAAAATATTACAACACAGTCACCTTCCTTCCGCATGCTTCAGATAACGTCAACTCCCAAGGTGCGAAGAATCTACCAAATTTTCCTTTTCACAGAGTGCCTTCCAGGGGACAGTCAAATGACCTTGAGGCCTCTCCATATTTTTTACTGGATTTTCACTACTTTCCTCTTGTCTCTACGTCACTCTCTCTCTGACATGAAAAAAATAATAATTTTTAAGTGAAATTGCTCATAAACCCCTCCCTACTGATTTTCAAGGAATTTATCAACGCTGCATTCATACTTTTTGTTTTGAAAAATACCCAGCAAAAGCCCCCAAAATTAGAATCTAACGATAATTGTGCCGAGTTGTTTGACATTGCCCTTATAGGCGTCTTGCAATATGGTGCTCAATGAGCCGCCGTAAGATTCTGCTATTTCCATTGAAGTGGCACAGAAACAAAATACTATGGTAGATTATTCGCAAACAACTACGATTATTGCGAAACAACGGTACTAATGGTAAAATCGTGACCCACAGCCCCGCCGCGGTGGTCTAGTGGCTAGGGTACTTGGCTGCTGACCCGAAGGTCACGGGATCAAATCCCGGCTGTGGCGGCTGCATTTCCGATGGAGGCGGAAATGTTGTAGGCCCGTGTGCTCAAATTTGGGTGCACGTTAAAGAACCCCAGGTGGCCGAAATTTCCGGCACCCTTTACTACGGCGTCTCTCATAATCATATGGTGGTTTTTGGACGTTAAACCCCACATATCAATCATCAATCAATGGTGACCCATATTAACTTATTTTCACCTCGCCGTTCAGAAGAAAACGAGGCTGAGTGCCTTCGTCGTAATATTATCCCAACGCCTCCTAGAAATACTATGCCTGGAACGCGGCTCTCTCTTCGATTGAGAGCTTGCTGCCAGCACAAAATCTTGGAGGTCATGCCTCCTACCGCTTGTTGCGACCGTCCGCCGCGTGGAACCGCTTGCCTCCGTACCGCTCTGTCACGTGACATCACAACTGCTCGGAGGCAACTGTGAGAGCATGGCTGCGTTCGCAGGGGGCGACCGTCGCAGGAGTTTACCTCCGTACCGGAGGGGAAGGGTAAAATCCGAGGGTAGGGCGGCCCGTTCGCGGCTCACGTTCTAGGCATAACTTTCTAGGAGGCGTTGATTACACTAAAAACTCCGCGAAGCGAATGGCGACCTATTACGTATATAAGTATAAGGATTACAGTAGCTCGTACACTTACCAATCACTGAAAGCGTTAGCGTGGCCTTGGCATCTCCCATGCTGTTTGCCGCTACGCACACGTACTGTCCATCGTGCTCGGGCAGAACGCCTCCACTCCAGTGAAGGACGCCGTCCAGCGCAGTGGGCGTTGTGGAGGGAGGCAATGGCATTAGCCTCTGCCCCTGCTTCCGGTACCACCTGTAACCATGTGACCACAACAGGGATGTTAGCCTGGGTGTAGCGTTCAAGTATGCCTACCCAGGATAGTCAGATGCAAGGACGCACGAAGACACGATTCCTTGCCCCCCACCTCCACCTTGTTCACCGGCCGGAAGCCCTAGCGTCTCCAATCAATGGCTTAATTTATTGATTCATATCCAAATTTTCATGGCTCTACTTATTGACTTTGTACGCCTCGCTCAAAACACAGCTACTTAAACTTCCAAGGATCCTGAGGGGGCGGAAAAAGAACACCGTTAAGACCGGACGAAGAAAGGTACCCGAGGACTGCCAACTAGAAGTTTTATTGAGAACACTCTTATTTTTAAAAAAATATTTCACTCACATCATCACTGTTTGTTACTTCTTTATGTGCTGTGATGTAAAAAAGAACTCAACTGAATGTTTAGATACCCGAAAAAACAAAAAAAAAGATTACGTAATAATTTAGTGACACGCGTGACGACAGGTACCTGATTTCTTTTTCGAACAGATCATGTGACGGAACGCTCGCACATCACTCGCAACTTTCGTGGATAGCAAAGTGCTCGAGTATTAGATGCGGAAGCATCTTATACTCGCGCCTTGTAGTGCGCCGTCCGCGCCGTCCGCACCGCTTCTCGAACATTAGACAGCTGACGCGCGCGCATGCGCCGTCGCGCCGTCGCCCACCATCTGTGCCGCGCGCGCTTCTCCTTCGAGAACATTCGACAGCTGACAGTGCATGCGCCGTCGCGCTGTATATATACTCAAGGTCGGCGCTCGCTCACTCAGTTGCCGCTCGTCGGTTGGTTTGTACGGCGCGTCGACGTCCAAGGTCGCGGTGAAATGAATTCCAACGAATCCACAAACACAATGATCGACGTCCCTTCAACCAGCGCCGCCCTTTCGCATACGTGTGTACGTGTTCACTCATTTAACACCCCCTCCTACAACCACGTTAACCAAATTAGCCATCGACCCAAGTAAGTCGCAATTTAACACCCCATTTCACAACCACGTTAACCAATTTAGCCATCGACCCAAGTAAGTCGCACTTTAACACCCCGTTAACCAATTATATGCTCCGCATCCTCCTCAGTGTACCCCCGAGGGAAGCTGCGGGCAATTTTTTTCCCGTGCCCGCTTTTGGCGATAGCGTTTAAGTACAATGTCAGACCGACCGGAGGTGCACTCAGGCGTGGCACAATGTGCGGCAAGATTGCTATAGACGCCAGTTTTTAATTAAGTGGCATGTTGCCAAAGACTCTGGTTGATGCACCACCCAATATGTTCCACGTTTACCATGTCGAATGAGCTTTGAGGCTGCTGAAAACACCACATGGACAACAGCATGTCCAGCCGGTTTTTGACCCTATGTGAAGCCCGTGTAAGTAAGGGTTGCTGCTACATTCCGGTTCTGCTCTCATTCTTCCCCAGTACGATGCCCATTTATCTCCGTCAGTACACAAGCAGCTGTTGTGAGAATTCCTACGGCGAACAATCTCGCAACTTGGTTGAAAAAACTGGGTCATACCATGTTGGTGCAGGAGCGGAGTGAGACATAACTCATGGGGAACAGCTGCAATGCCTCTTTTACAGCCTTCGAGTGAGCGTAGCTGAACGGCAGAAAGCTCTTCTTTGATAACGAGGAACATTCCAGCAGATGTGGTCATGTTGAAAGTGTAAGACGCGTTTAAAAAAAACTTTTACTGCTGCCGGAATTCACTAGTGGAGCTTCAAAAAACCAATAGTGAGCTGGGAGATCCCGATAATGCTTTGTGCTCTCTGTTGATGCGCCCCCGATATGAAGGTAAAAAAATAAGAAAGTTGGTCTACATAACGAAAAACATCATTATAATCATAATCATCATCATCAGCAGCAGCCCTGAATACGTCCACTGCAGGACAAAGGCCTCTCCCATGTTCCGCCAGTTGACCCGGTCCTGTGCTCGCTGCTGCCAATTTATACCCGCAAACTTCTTAATCTCATCTGCCCACCTAACCTTCTGTCTCCCCCTAACCCGCTTGCCTTCTCTGGGAATCCAGTTAGTTACCATTAATGACCAGCGGTTATCTGTCTACGCACTACATGCCCGGCCAATGTCCATTCCTCTTCTTGATTTCAACTATGATATCCTTAACCCCAGTTTGTTCCCGACACACTCTGCTCTCTTTTGTCTCTTAAGGTTACACCTACCATTTTTCTTTCCATTGCTCGCTGCGTCGTCCTCAATTTAAGTTCAACCCTCTTGTAAGTCTTCAGGTTTCTGCTCCGTAGCTAATTACCGGCAAGATACAGCTATTATATACCTTCCTCTTGAGGGATAGTGGCAATCTACTTGTCATAATTTGAGAATGCTTGCCAAATGTGCTTATTCTTCTGGTTCGAAACACATGAACAACCCCAAACCCCACATACCGGAACACACGAACCACCCCAAACCCCTTAAGTGTTCAGAAACTACACGGTCATAGCGGGCATACAGGATGTCGCTGAGAACTGGTGCCAAGCAGGAGACGATTCATAAGCTTGTCTTTCGCTCATAGTAGGTGCCGTCATACACTTCGAGGGAGAAGCACAAATAAATCTGCAGCGGTTCAAGGAATTTACTTGGTCTTTAGAGACCCTAGAACACATCCTGTGCTTCTGTCCAACTATGGAAGGCCCGAGAGACACCATCAAAAGGTCATATCACATGATGTGTCTGGCTCGCATCATCGTGAATGAGCTGCTCTTCCCGCCTGAATTCCATGGTCTAGCCTTACACGCGTTCCTGAAGTTCGCCGACGCGACTGACCTCGAGTCCTTGTGAGTCTTGCTGACGGCCAAATCTCCTGAACCCACGCCACCTCGCCCAATACGATGATGATCTGCTGCTGAACTCTACCTCTACTTTATCATCTTCCCTCTCACTTCTCCTTTCTCACAGGCACTGAGCAGTGTCCCCAACCTGGGAGACAGAAACATGTGTCTCATTTTTTCCTTTACAATCAATATATTCGCTTGTATTCGTGCCATACCAGTTCTGCAAACGCACTTCGCAGAGTTCCTCGATGGCATCCTGAACAACAGCCAGAACTTCGTGCGGAAGGTAATAGTAGAGGTTCTTTACATCCACGGGCTGGGTGAGCACATCTGGATGTCTCAAACGTACTGAGAACATCGAAACTTCTGCGGGACTTCTGACGGAGGAAGGGTCTCTAACTGGTAGTGCCGAAAGGGACGATTGCAACTAGGTCTTTCCCCTATCGCTGCCAAGTTCCTCTTACTGAGGCAACGCCTCAGAAAACGCACGCTTCTCTAGGCGTCTTCGCCGAGAAAAATATGCTCAACGTCAAAGGAGCGTGCAGGAGATACTCAAAGACTGCCATCCGCCAAAATAGCGAGGGATGCGTAAGCGCTCCGTCACTTGATCTGTTAAAAAAAATTAACTATTGTACACCATGCACATGATTAAAATTCTAAATTGAATGTCCTTTTGTGTATCTATATATTCTTAATTCCTTCAATAGGACTTTCTGTGGCAGTCAGCGCACATCATCTTGTGAAGTTTGTTCGTCCAGCCGTAACGGCGATCTTTTTTTTTTCACTTTTGAGTTGTGTGCCAACCGGTCCACTTTTCACCGCTCTTTTCTAGGTGGTGAGATGTATCATAAACATTTTGGCAAAACAGTTCAAGAAACGAACAACGAACGCAGTACTGACCGGCTTTTTTCTTTCTCGTAGTAGAATACCGGTACTTTGAACTCGTTAGCAACTAAACAACAGCCTCTGTTTTTTTTTCGTCTTTCTTCCAATGTTCTGCGAAAATGTTCAACTTTTAGAATGCGTGCTTTACAATTGAACGCACTACGCCGATACTTACTTAGACAACCAGGTTAATGAAGTCTTTATTCCTAAAGACATAAATTGGAGGTTTTCGCGTTTCAACACTATAATATGATGTCAAAGCTTACCATAGTTGCCGACTCCAGATAATATTGATCGCACATAGATTTTGTTTCGTATGCATTAACCCGGGTAAACATTTCTTCAGATAATTTTTCTCGATAAAATGTGACTGCAGCGGCCAACAGTTGAAACAGATTTCTATGAATAACCGAAGTAGCATAAACAGTGAATGTTTCAAAAGGCTTCACTTGTACTTAGGTGGTGGCCCATCCTTGGGCGAGGCAGACAAGGTCAGTGGGACGACCTTGCTCAACAGTCACGTGACCGAGTGGAATGTGATAGAAGGTATCTCGCTTCCGGTGGTTCTGCATAAACACAATAAATTGTGTGCTTGTGGGAAAACAAGTAAACGAAAAAATCACCGCCCAAGCACACCGTACAGATGGTTAACCAGCGAGGTAGGTAGAAACGTTCAGCTACAGGAGCTCGCACACAGAGCAGCCGAAGCCAAAGTGTGGCCAGCAAAACTCCCACTGAAAGCGGGCGTCTGTCCCGGCGAATAGATTTCCGCCACTGTCACATTGACGCTGCTTTGCCCGCAACGCTGCTTCCTGGGCTTGCCGTTGTCGTTTGCATTCGGCTCGTAAGACTGCCCGATTCTCGATACGCAGTTGCTAATGCGCTTCGCCACCCAGACCTGTTGTAGTGGCCAGAGTGCTGCATAACAGAGATTCCCCCACGGACCAGCTGTCGGCGTTGTTCTGGGAATGTTGTCTGCTATTCGGGCGTACGTATGATTTGGGCCCTTTCCATGTGTAAGTTTCACATTGAACATTCCTGCGATGCCAAACTCTACACGCCTCCGTAAGCCCAACACGTGTTTCTTTACATCTCTCCTTCGCCTGTCGACCTGCTTGACGGCTTTACTTGGCTATGAAACGACGTGCGCGTGCGCGGAAAGGACATTTAGGGGCGAAGCTCCTTAAGGCATGGGTCTGTCCATCCCTTTCCACCGGTGGCAACATACCCAGCTCTAGAGCGGGTATGTGCCACAGGGGAATGTGAGATGGAGATGGCGGTACTTGGAGTGTTCACTAGATAGACGCGTGACTGACGGACAGACAGAGTAGCAGATGGACGGACGAACTGATGGACGCGCGGACATACGGATGGATGGATGCACGAACCGACAGACAGACAGATGGATGGACGGACTCATGAACGGACGTACGGACAGGTGGACGGACGCATGGATGGACAGACGGAAGCAATAACTAACGGACGGAGGGAAGCACGAACGGGCTGACGGACGCTTCGCTCCACTCATCATCATTCACTCCGTGGATATGTTGTGATTTTTTCTTCATTTTCTTTCTTTCAAGCCACTCCGTTGAAACGGCTGCGCGCGGACTCGGCGGCCAGCTAAGAAGGGGTGAATGACATCCCAGATGGCGCTCCAATGGCACGCGCGTTTGCGTGCTACGTAGGAACGGCGTCACTGATGGAGTAGCCAATGGAGGTCCATTATCGTTTCTGAAGCCAACGGTTTTTAGTTTCACTTAGCAATATGAAGGTTTCGTTTAAAAGGGTTAAGCGCAGGATGAGCCACACCAGTCGGCGAATGAATCAGGCTTGACTAGACTTGTTCGGAGACACTTCCTACGAGAATACGTGCTCAACAAACTATTATTCATAATTCTGGAGTTGTTTTCTTCTTTTGTACTTTTTTAATGCAGTAAAGGCTGAGATGTGTGTTTTAGGTGTGTTGCCAAGAAATGTATGCACTCATTGACTCAAATGATTGATTGATTTGTGGGGTTTAACGTCCCAAAACCACCATATGATTAGACAGATGCTGTAGTGGAAGACTCGGGAAATTTCGACCACCTGGGGTTCTTTAAAGTACACTTAAATCAGAGCACACGGGCCTACAACGTCTCCGCCTCCATCGGAATTGCAGCCGCCGCAGCCGGGAATCGATCCCGCTGACCTGCGAGTCAGCAGCCGAGTACCTTAGCCACTAGACCACCGGTGTGGGCACCTTTCTAATCAATCGGTAAAGATTTGTTCTTCTTCGTGAGCACTCAAAAAAGCTCGACGACAGCTTCGCAGTAACAAAAGAGTCACCATTCTTTAGTCAGAGGTACTCTGTGAATTACGCATGAGAATTCAGAATAACTATAAGATAACTAGACTAGATGTATTTAAATTAAGCTGCTAGTTTTTAAGCAATAATACATGCGTTGTGATTGTGAATGTATTCTGGGATTACAGAAGTCTACAGAGTAAAATTAAACGTGAAAATTTGAATAGTTCGTTGCACGTAGATACACTTTACTGAACAAGAGGACTTCTGCTGTGGTAAAGATGCGCAGCTGTTTTCAAGACCTAAAGAGCGGCGGGTCTGAGAAGAAGAGTCTGCTGTTTCGGCCAACGGCATGATATTCTCATACGCCTACGTTTTGTATTGCTATATACGAACATCGTAGCACTGTATACAGTTCTGAGGATCTAGCTAAGCAAGCATTCCCTCGAGTACAGCGGCCAAGATAGCTGGTGCTAGCTCTACAGATGCACAAGTTAAGTAAGGCGTAGTTATCAAAGCGTGACCTATTACTACTACTACTGCTACTACTACACCTAATAATAATAATAATAATAATAATAATAATAATAATAATAATAATAATAATAATAATAATAATAATAATAATAATAATAATAATAATAATAATATATAATAATATAATAATAATGTTTTTATTTTCCAATGATAGGTTTGATGAAGGACAGCTGCAGGTAAAAGCTGCTCTCCGAAAGAGGCAGCTTGACAAAGGCCCACAGCCACCTCAATGCCTCGGTGAATCTGTTTTATATAGAACAAAAGTTGCTTTCACAGAAATAGTTTCAGCCTTGGTGGCGTGTCAAGAATACAAGTTTATTCTTTTGCATAGCATCTATAACAAAAAAAAATGCCAGCAGATGGCAACACACCTTTTTGTATTGGTGCATACGGTGAAGCAAACGGGTGTATTCGATTACCTAATGCTACGATGCCCGCTACAATACTCCCTTTTCTAGTCGTCTACCATCCCAATACAGCAGAGATGGAATTATATCTACAATGACGATGATCAGGACTTAACTAAACTGACTAATAGGCGTTCCTTAAGCTGTTATGACAAGTGGATACAATACGGGCATTAGAAAACCGGATGTGGAAACTTGACGTGAAAAGGGACAGTTAATGGAAGGAAGTAGTGAGTTATGAGATACCTCGCGTAGATGCCAGAAAAATAGTGTGCCCCAGAAAACTAGTGTGCCCTATAATTACTCACGTTATTACCGGGACGAAAATTATGTGAGTACCTGGCGTATTTCAGCGACGGAAAGTGACGCAAGTAGGCGGTAATTCTGGAATAAAACATCGTAACTTGCGTATAGGGAGAACGTTGATAAGACTTGCGCAGACACGAGGTTCTACGCAGTGCTGCATGTGAGGGTAAAACGTGTTGGGGGCACCTCACCTGTGACGTGGTAGTGGGCGTAGTTGGCGCTCGTCCTGTTGCGACGAGTGAGAACGTCATCCGTGTGGCAGCGAAAGCGCGCAGCCTGCGTCATGCTCCGAACGTAGAGGTCACCCGACGACAACATCACGTAGCGGTCTGCGAGAGCAGAAGGAGCAGTCGTACGCATAAAGGACAAGACAGATGCGCGCAGAACAAGTTTGTCTATGCAGTTCGCATGTTTATCGAGTGATTGCAAACAATATTGTCACGTAAGAATGAGGGTAGCCCGAAGACAGGAGACCGGGAGGCTCGTAGAAATAGAAGGGAATCCGTTTATTTGGCGGGCTTGCACCCACTAAAGGAAAATATACACATCGGCTTAGCGGGTGCCGGACAGCGTGTTCGACGGCCGTCGGGGAACAGAACGCCCCACTGGATTGCAAGGTGCGTTCACCATC